CTTGCTTTTCTGTGGGAACATAAATCTTTATGATAAAGTGGGAGAAGAGGATATATCGCTGCAATAAGGATAGTGGAATATAGTTATGTTAGAAAAAAATAGTTTGTTTCTCGGTATAAAGTAGCCTTTTATCTGTTTCATTTAAAGCTCTTTTACAGATTATAAAATATAAGAGTTTGACATCCTTCATGTATAAGTGTAACCTAAATATATACACGAAATCAATTTCCAGGCCAGTATGGGAATAGAAGTAGCAGCTATGCAAACTAAGCACAAAAAGTAAGGAAATTTGTGTTTGGTTGATGTTTTCTGTGTTGCAAAAATGCTTTTTGGAAATAAATCTTAAATAGAACTACAATTATGATCTGCTGTATCAGTTGAGGGTTATGAATTATGTGACTAATTTGAGAGAAAGAAAAAAGAAAGAAGATTAAGATTAATCTGATAATCAAAGGAGCTTGCAACGAAAAGCGTCTGGACTTCTTTAAATTGCTTGAAGACGTTTCACCTCTCATCCGAGAAGCTGCCTTTCCTGGACTGCGCTGTGCACATTGAAGAGAATGGAAAGATATTTAATTTTCCTGAAACTATCTTTTTTCATGCGTATCTATATGTTTTTGGGTACAAGAAAAAGAACAGAGAGGTATCTGAGGAAATGAGGAGTAAGGTCAAGCTGAAGTATAAAAGGCCATTTCACGGATCTTAGTGAACCTGGATATATCCATAAAATTAAAACTGACCCCAGACTGAGCAGGGTGAGAATTTGATTGGTGGAAAAAGAAAAAAACAAAAGATACAAAATAACTTCCAAGATCATGTTACAAATGCTTTCCCAATAAAAGTGTAGCATAGAGTGAAAAATGCACATTGACAAACAATGATGCTTCCAGAAACCACAATGCATTGTTGTGCATTGAACACGGTGCCCTGAATAACTGCAGAGCACACTAAAATTTGTAGATTATCAAGGTGATCTGTAGTGAAATACCCTAGATCTGTCTCAGCTGCAGGCCAATTCTCCGTCAACAGAATAATGACCTGAATTTATAAAAACGCAACATTAGATTTCAAATCCTGATTTGTCCTGATCCTGGGGCGATCGTGGCTCAAGAGTTAGGAGTTCACCTTGTAATCGGAAGGTTGCCGGTTCGAGCCCCGGCTCAGACAGTCTCGGTCGTTGTGTCCTTGGGCAAGACGCTTCACCTACC